GGAACCAACCCTGGGGCCATCTCTTCCATGAGGTCTCAACTCTTTCCTGGAAACCTCAATCCTCAGGACCTCTGTCCTCACAGGTCAGCTCTGGGTCCCAAGGGCCAGCACAGGGTGAGGTTCAGCGAAGGCCCCTTCCCTTCCCTCTCAAATGCCCTCACCATCTCCGCCCCCACCCCCTCTGCCTTCTCCACCCTCCCCATCTGCCTTGGGAACCACAGAAACAGACCTAAGCCAAATCCCCAGGAGCAGTAAAGCTCCCTATATCCACAGTGAGGCTGGAATCTGAGAAGTGGAGGCCCCCACACCACGCCCCTCTGAGAGCTCAGCAAGTCAGCAGCTCTGTCCGAGCCCCAGGCTCTGCAGGCAGAAGGAGCCCTTTGGCGCCAGGAGTCCTAGCCTTCCCCCGCTGCCCTGTGTGTTTAGGGCCTGGCATAGTCACACCTGTCCAGGGGAAGGTTGCCCTCTACCATGCTGAAGCCTCCCCCTACCCCCACCCCCCTGCCTTTTCTGCTTTCCAGTGAGGCGCACCTCCTGATTTGCACACCCACCTGCAGCAGAAGGTACCTGCTGTCATCAACAGATACCCCCTGGGCCTGCGGGATGGCACCGCAGTGGCTGGACTGGGGTCTGGGACATGGATAAGCAATGTAGAGGCCTCACCGCCAGCCTGAGCCCAAGCTCAGATCCAGAGTCCAGATCCTAGGGCTCGATAAGGCCGTCTCTTCTGACCTTGACTGTGAGTTCCCCTAGAAATGTATCTGCAGCCTCCCCAAGGACCCCAGGGCTCCCAGGAAGGGGTCAGAAGGGAGTGGTTCAGGTGTTGGTGTGCAGGGTTCACATGGTATGTACCGGGTGGAGGAAGAATGTTAGAGGGGTAGTGACAGCCAGTCCAGGAGCGTTGTAAGCAGGAGGGGTTGTCCTTGGGCTCCCCTGTGCCCCGTGGCCCCCACCGTTAGGTCACTGTGACCCCACAGCTGCATAGAAGAGGCCCCTTCACAGACAAGGACACTGAGGCTCACAAGGATAAAGTCACTCACCCAATGGTTAGCTCTACTCCCTTGACACCCCAATTCTGCTGAGGGCTCTTCCCGTGACCTCACCTGTGCCCCTGTTTGATGGGGGCCGGGAGCTTTCGCCAGCCAGGGCTGCTGGGATGGCCGGGGCAACTCCCTGAAGTAGGGAGTCATCGAGGCAGACAGGCTGCTACAAGTCAGGGGCTGAGCAGCGGGGGTCAGGGGTTTGGAAAAGGGGGGCGTACACAGGGCACTGGTGAGAAGTGTCCTGAGGCCTTGACGGACCCATGTTTCCTCAGGCTGTCTCTCCTGATGTAAAGCCTGAGCTGGCATCTGCATGGCAGGGGCTGGGGAGGCCACCAACCTGGCTGGGCACAAAGGAGCTTGTGTTGACAAGGAGAGTGTGGAGCCAGCACAGTAGAAACTGA